GCCAGTGTAGCTGAATGGGTAGCATAACTTACTTGGACATTGATTAACTTAGCAATAAAGTTCAGTGGGTGACCATTGGCCAGGCATGATCTCTCAGCCTAAACCACCTGACAAGTGGGTGTGAAAATAAAATAGGATCATCTGCCCCAAGATTCCTAAAGGAATAGTGGCATACCAAATGTGCTAAATAAGTAGGACTCTGGATTCTGGGCATCACATTCAAGTTGAAGCTTTCAGTGTGTCAGGTGTTAACCAATCTAGTTGTGGAATGCCCTCCCACCTGATATTTTATGGTCCTATTGGTACCAGCAGGTGAATACATGCTCATTTATCCAGGCCTTCAACCAACTAACCAACAAAAAACAATCCAGTGGGTTTTGCTTTTCATTTTTATTTATTGGCTTTTATTCTTCCCTGTGCTGTAAGGTTTTATTGCTGTGTTTATATTGGAAATTGTTATTTTATGATATTGTGGTTTTAATTGTATTTTATCATTTTGTGCTGCAGGTCACCTGGAGAACAGTGTTATTGGGTGGCTGTCAATAAAACAAAACAAAACAAAATAAATCTAGCTTTGATTCATGCTAAAACATTACTGGCTCTTCTGCTGTCTACCACATGTGCGTGATACATGCAATGTGTGGCACAATTACAAACAGTCTCCTGCCATATCCCCTCCCTTCTCCAGGACAGATCAGCCTATAAAGTTTTGCTGAAGTCCAGTTTGTGAGTCCAGTGGATGTAATTCTTTAAGATTATCAATGGAATATTTTATAAGTGGATTCCAAATTTCAATAAAGCCATCTGCATTTCCAGTTCTGTGGTATTAGTATGCATGCTGCCAAAAGAAGAAAAGTGGTTAATTCTTTCTAATGGGGGTCAAGTTGCTCTTCTCTGAAAATGGTTAACAGCCCCAAACTTAGGGTCCATGCCACAATCACAGCTTATTGTTAAAACTGTAGAAATTTAAATAAACTGATATTACAGATAGTGGACACATCTTCAGATGCAGACAACAGTTGCTATTTTTCTCCCTTGCAAAGATTCAGCTACATTTTACTGGCTGGTCTCAGGATATGTGTCAAGATTAGGATATCAATATCTATGTGAAAAGAAGAAATTGGAAGTAGTCTTTGCTAGGCTCCAAGAAAACTTCAAAAGGTTAAGGGCTTTGTTCAGGCTGGCTGTGCGCCTAATGAAAGTCTGACAGCGTATGTGGTGTGTGGTAATTTATAGTGAAAATTAGCTGAACTCAATGAAATTGACATTTTACTTGCTTCAGTCCCTGGCATGGAATGGTAGCCCAAGAGGGAATCTGGGAGGAATACAAAAGGCCAAGGAGAGGCTGTGGAACCAAGTGAGAGCAGTGAAGTCTTGCTTTCATCTTACACTATTATACAATTCAGGGGGAGCTGGGAATGGCACAAATTGAATAGCTCTGAAGTAGGGGCAAGCTGCATTCTCAACAGTTCTTATGGACAACAGAGACTAGCAATAATGGTTGAAGTGTAATACTGCAGAGTACAGAATTTGTCATTACTGAGCTTTCTTCAATCAAGGAGGGGAAATAATCCAAGCCTTCTCAAGGCTGACTTCTTTGAACAGCAGCTTCACACACTGTTAGTTGCATGATTTGCAGCCCAATCCTATGCCTGTTTACACAGAAGTAATTCCCACTGACTTATTTACAGGTAAGCCATCATATTTCCATGTTGGGATGGGCAAATTTGTCAGTTTTGGTTTTTCTCTGTTTCTTATTTTTTTCCAATCTTAAATTCAGTTCTCCACATCAGTTTCTGATTTATTTTTTTAAATACTCATGGAAATCCATCAGTATTTTACTGCTATTTTTTCCTTATATACACATTTTTGTATTTTTTTCTCAATACAGGAAACACATCTGTTCAGACTCAGCCTAGGGGCAATGAGCTACAGTACATACCGGTAAATTTAGTAGTAATTGAGTATATGTTTCAACCCATTCCCAAATCTGGGATTCAGATACACTACAAATGCAAGTGCTTTGTATGCACTTTGCCCAATATATACATTTTTCATTAATACATGAATTTTAGTGTGCACTTTCTTCTGAATTATGGAATTTGGTCTACATTTTTGCTTGGAGCACTGCATTGCAAAATTTGAAGAAGTATTTGAAGAAATTTTAAAGGCATAGCTATATTTCAGTTTGCCTTACTGGTTCGGAAAGTGCATATTAGGTTCTCATTAAAATGCAAACCAAATGAATTTCTCTCCATCCTTGTGACTCCAAGATGCTCCAGAGCACCACTGTCCATGAGATCTCCATAGCCATTCCAGTTACCCTCCACAGCCATATTCTCTGGACTGTGTTTGAACAAGTTTGGTTTTCTATCAAAATCTACAATTTATAGGCCAACTCCTGCTTCCCCTTTGCAGTAATTCATGGTCCTTGCACTATGTTGATATTACTCATGGCTGAGATTGTTCCAACAGCTTCTTGCCACTTTGAGGGTCATAAATTATGCTTTCACAGAGCTTTGGGGTACCCAGCTGTTATAGCTTTTTTCTAAATGACCAGCAAGCAAAGAATAAGTATTTTGTATTTGCTACTGATACCACATTTGCTTTCTTGTCCATGAATATCAACACATATCTTCTGGGATGGGGTAGGATAGAAACATGCCGCATCCCCTAGAATAACTGGAGATGGCATCACAGCTGGTTCTGTACATTCTTTCAAACACACCAGGATGGACAATACATTGATTTAATGACATTGAAATACTTAGGCTGAGCCATGTAATATATGTATGACCTGTACACTTCTGGTTGAGATTTGCATTAGATCTCACAGTATGAGATCCATCCCATTGTGGAATATAGGTCTTCAGATAGGGACATAAAAATGCAATAAATGGATACAATACTACTGTCTACAAAATGCTGCTGCAGCAACCAGAATATTTCATCTCCTTGGCTGGGTTTATAGTATGCTTCACTCTTGTGTAATTTGAATATTTTTAATATGTTGCTGCATATAAAATTGAATCCATCATATCTCCATAATCAACATGCTCCAATTTCTGTTTTCTCCTGTAACTGCAAGTCTCAGATTTCTGGTTCACTGGAAGGCTACTTCTATTATTTCTGAATTTATTTGTTTCCAGAGACAAATTTCAAGAGCATTAGGAAAATGCTTTTCATAGAAGAGTTTTAGAATATCCAAGTTGTTGCAAGCCCAGACATGGTGAGCCCACCACCCCTGAAGTTGGGGTGTGGGTAGAAGCAACCATCAGTAAAACCAAATGAAAAATTCTCAAGAATGGTTTAACGGAGGAGAAGGCTACAAGTCTTACATTGAAAACTGAAAAAAGCTTGGCTAAGCAGGCTCATAATCCATTGGTGCTGAAATAATGGCGGTGTTGTCTTACCCGTAAAGGGAGGGCATTCCACAAATGAGGTGTCAGTACAAAATGTAAGCAAGCAGTACTGGCCATTACAAAATGTAGGGGTACCAGCACAAAATGTAAGCAGTCGTGGGGTGGGGCAAAGATTGCTGCTGATAACTGAGTGGAAGGGAAGCAGAGGTAAAGAGGTGGGGTACAGGTACAGCATTGGGAGCAAAAGATTGTCTCTGCTGCTCTGTTGGCACCATGCCAACTGCTCCACTATCTCCTTCTCACCCTCTCAGTTACCGGCAGCAAACTCTGCTTATGATACCAGGGAGGCAATGCCACCCCATCCTGCCAGTTGCTTCTGAATGTAAGCAGTTGTACATGTACTGTAAAAGTACAGACTTCCACTGGCTCGCTAAGGTGAAGTTAGTTCGGGAGCAATCAGTAGTCTCCTTTCACCTTTCAAATACTTACACCGCACTGTTATACTGGCAGCTCAGCTTCTTATTTTGAGTGGCCTTTTATTTTCATAGCCACATTTTGGGTTTCAGTCTCTTGAGTTCTCTCTCAGAATTCTCTGCCTCCTTCCATATTGGAGTATGACCGACAGGCTGAATGAGGTGAAGCCTGGTATTATGTGTCTGACTGAAATATCATTTGTCTACTGGCAGCATTTCCAGATCCTTGACTGGTGATGCAACAAATAAACAGCATAGGCTGGCCTAAATAAGAACAAGGTGCACACGAAAGGCTTTCCTTCCATTCATTCTTTTACTGTTCCTCTGGTTTGCTCCACCCTTGTTCCTGCTGTTCTCCTTCTAAATTTCTGTTTAACTGAAACAATGTCTAAAATTAATTCCACAATTGGAGCGTGTTTGGTTTGTCTCAGCTTTCATTTCCTTTGCAACAATGATGATGTGACCACAGATGTAGCAGCATTGTGCTACCACACTCCGGCACATTGGCAAAACACCACAAAAAATAATAATGCTACAACTGTTTGTTTAATCACATCAAGTTTGCATTTAAGCGGTCCCCCCCAGTGCACGTGCCATTTGCCTTGGTAAAATTCTGCGCAAAGGCTATGATCACATCAATACATAATAAGTCTATTCCCAGAGGGGATAAATGACAATCAAATGAGAATAAAGGGAATAGACCATGAAGATTTATTTATTTTAATTCATTTCATTTATGAATCACTTCCCATGAAACATCCCAAAGCAATTTCACAATAAAAACACCAGCAATAAAAACACAGAGAAATACAATTTCTAGGCCAACACAGATAAGGACTGGGATAAAACATTCCACTTAAAATATTTGTTGGAAGAGAGAGGTCTTCAATAAGTACCAAAAAGGAAGTAAGATAGTGCTTGTCTGCTATGCAATGGGAGTTTCAATGCACAGGTGTCGACTAACTAAAGTTGCTTGAAGGATGACTCCAAAAATGAAAAAAAAAATTCCTTCCAGTAGCACCTTAAAGACCAACTAAGTTAGTTCTTGGTATGAGCTTTCGTGTGCATGCACACTTCTTCAGATACACATCTGAAGAAGTGTGCATGCACACGAAAGCTCATACCAAGAACTAACTTAGTTGGTCTTTAAGGTGCTACTGGAAGGAATTTTGTTTTGTTTTGACTATGGCAGACCAACACGGCTACCCATCTGTATCCAAAAATGAAGGAACTATGAAAAAGCATTACACCCTAGAACCTAAACTCTCAAGAGATGAGTTGTTGACCATCCCTCTCCTGGATGTGCTTTTTCTTTTCTTTAGATGCTTGCTTTGAAGAGAGCCTTTGCCTTGGAAGTGTGGATTTACTGAAGCAATATTGGCATGTGTACTTGTGAATCTGTGCTGAAGACTTTTGGCAATGACCTTGGTTGGTCTAGTAAACAGATAGGAAACCATTTTTATTATGGGATTCCCCATTTGGTAAGCATCCTCATTGATCCTGCCTGAAGCACTTTCTTCTGCCATATGATTGTTTCTACCCACCATGTTGGAGCCCTGCAGTATGTTCTACCACATTCAGAAGCATGGTTAGTTTGAATGAGAGACAGTATCTTTTCTGTTCTGGTGCTCAGGTTACAGAACTCTCTCTGTTGAGAGTTGCAGTTGACTTCCTCTCTTTTAAACTATGATTTTTTTATTCCATCAAACTTTTAATGTGGTTAGGCTGCAAACCTATGCACATTTACCTGGGAGTAAGCTCCATTGAACACAATACTTATTTTCAAGTAACTATGCATAGGACTGCACTGTCCATCTGAAGATGTTTCTCAAGCTCCCAACTCATTTTAATCTGCTCTGATCTTACAATACCATTTCGAAGCAATTTTTGGATGTTGTTCTTGTTTTTATTTTTGGGATGTGTTTTACTCATTCCGTAAGCTGCCTGAAATTAATCTATAAAGAAAAGTGAGGGAGGAAAGTTTTAAATGAGAAAATACCTATGGGTTTTTGCTTTGTTGCCTTTTCCTGCTTTAGAACTTGTTCTCGTAAGAGCTGGCTGATAAGCGCAGAGGGCTCCTCGCATGAGTAATGTTGAAGAAAAAGCGCAGCAGCTTCTTCGGCGAAAAGGGCATGATGGAAAGCAGAAATTCCTTTTTTCTCCAATTTGCCATGAGTACCTTCTTTGACGCTACACAGCTCACGTGTGAGCAATTATTCATGCTTATCAGCCAGCTTAATAAAGTGCTGCATTTTTTTTTAGTAGATAAAGAGCACAGGTACAGTTTCAGGTGAATTATGAGCAATGAGCCATTGAAATTTTAGGTAATACCCATTTTTACCCGCCTCCCCATTAAAAAAAAATGTTCCTGTTGAAAAATAAAATGAAATTGTTAGTGCCTTTCATTTGCAGATAAAGATAACAGCTCATGCATAAGATTAATGTATATTCATGAGTGGAATTATGGATGTTCGTGAAAGCACTACATTAGTGATTGGTAATCAACATCTACTTTATTTCCTTAAAGTTAGCATAGTTGCTAATCAAAGATAATTACTGCATGTCATTTACAGTGTTGATCACTCATTCTTTTGGGGAAAGAACAAGCAGCGCAATTTACACTTTAACGCAAGCAGCACCAGAATGAAGGAATAACTGTGGGTGCAATGTTCTGTATTGCAACATGTTGTCAATACAGTTTAGGGATGTTTAAAATAATACTGCTAAGCAAGATGGACTCTGCGTTTTAAAAGTATTTCCCTTCCAGGATTCAGCTCCGATTAGAAATATTAATGACCTAGTTTTTACCAGCTGTGATGAAATGCGGTGAGCGGTTTACATTCTCAAAGGAAAACATACAGTGCAAGAGAGATTTAGACTTCAATTTTATACCCACTTTCTGGGAAATCAATCCCATCAAACTCAGGTGGGTTTACTTTTGAGCAGACATCTATAGGATGTGTATTGACAGTCAGTTGTAGAAGATACAAAAATGAGACTCAAAATAGATCTGGAAATGTTCTGGAAATATTGACTCCAAAATAAAAGCTTTGAAAATGTGCTTTATATCCTCAACAGCTGCACATTTGTGTCATTATCATTTAAATGCATATCTTGTTATGGGCCTCTTATTAAACTAAACCTATGCCTTTAAAAACTTTGGGTGGTTTTCAGCAGAATAATTGCCCCAGTGGGATAACGGTGCAGCAGGCCTCTCCCCTTTCTCATGGGTGCCCCACACCACCCTCACATCTGTTCCAGGGTGTTGGGGCAATTCCCTAGAACAGGTTTAGGGGTGCATAGAATGGAAAAGGGTGGGGGGGGAAGTCCTGTTGCACAACATAAGTTGTTGCCTGCAACCCTCTCACTAAAACAAAAGGTAGTGGCCCTCAAAGTTGGATCTCATTCTTTGTTTCCAAATTAAATTATCATGTTATATTTTCCATTGGCCTAGCTTTGCATGCCAAACCAACCAAGCCACCTGGGCCATGCAAAGCTAGCAGCTCCTAGATTGGTCATGGTTAGGTAGCAGAGAGCTTAACCATGAGCCCAGATTGGAATGACACACTAAGCCGAACCTTGGTTTAGCTCAATGCGGCAGTGTGGGCTTGGCAAGTGATAGTTTGACTTACAGCGTCATGGGAACCAGGTAACTCATTCTTACAATGATCTGATCTGGTATAAAGTGCTGATGATGTCAAAATATATATGTTTATTTATTTATTTATTCATTTCAGAAATGCATAAAAATAAACCAAATAGGTGCCATTTGGTAGCATCCCGGAATTAATGGTTGCTATTCTTTCCCCAAACTTCTTTTCTATGACTTTTATTTTTAACTAGCTCATCTAAGTTATGGACAAATGGAAGAAACAGCAGGAAGGGGAGATAATTTTTCTTATCTTTAGTGTAGGAAAGGGAGAGGCCTTTTCTACTTTAACAGATACTCCAGACCTAGACATCTTCTTAGACTCAGCAGCTTGTGGAAATTCTTATTTATTCCTGCATCGGAGCCACCATCGGCTATCATTTCTCATTTTGTATACTTTCTTATCTCTAAATATTTGTCAGTGTTCCTATACCACTCTCTGCAGCGCCTACATTGAGTAAAAAGAACAGTAACAACTCTTTCTCATATCTTGCTGACATGGGCGCCATGCTGCACTTCCGCCTAACTCTAAAAAGCCCTATTCAGGGGTATAAATAATAAATTATTATCATTATCATTATCATTATTATTCAGTCACACATAACTGTCATTGTGGGCTGTGCAACTCTACCCACCATTCGTCCCCTGTTGGCCCCTCTGCAACTCTATCCATGTGTTGATGGTATGCCTATAGTGAGGCTGCTTCTTGAACATGCATTGGCTCTTCACATAAACGAAAAATGCACATTTGGGAGGCTCTCCCCCTGCACTGATAAAGCGCTGGCGCAAGGATATGAAGGTTTATGCTGCCCTGCTCTCCGGCATCACACAATGTGTGGGGATACTCCCAAATACTGAACCAAACTGCCCCATCTTTTCCTCTGACTGCTAGCTTGCCCAGGGCGTCAAGAGAAGAACCCCGTGCATCGTGCCGCCTTCCTTTGCTATTCACAGTATAATAATGCTGCAACTTCCTTGCCAACTCCTTTCTGGATGGAAAAATTGCAAATGAGCCTTCATTGCAGGAAAATTTGCCCGAAGAATGAAAATAATGGGGGGTTGGGGGCTGGATTCACCTAATGAGCCCTGTCAGTAGATGCCATGCATAAGAACTTCTGCTTGTGCAACAGGGCTTTTCCTCGACTCCTCCTTTTGTACCCCTCCAAATGGTGTGTGTGTGTGTGTGTGTGTGTGGGCAAGTCCCCAGAACAGCACACAGGGGAAGCAGGGGGGTTGTTCCCTCTGGCAAGTTTGTGCAGGTGGAAGAACTGGAAGAGCACAATGCTTAATTTCACCTTTACATGCTAAGCATTGTCTCCAGTGTTTGATCTCTTCAGAGAAGGCCTATTGAAATGAATAGAAATTGCTAACTTAGATCCAGTAATTTGAATGGGTCTGCTCTGAATAGGACTTAGTTGGATACAGCCCAAAGAAACTTATTAAAAGTCTGCAACATGTTAGACAAGATTTGGAGTTGCACAAAGCAGGGTCTCTCTCTCTCTCTCTCTCTCTCTCTCTCTCTCTCTGTGTGTGTGTGTGAGTTAAAAATTAGCAGCATACAAATAAACCGATGATGAATGATGCTAATAATGAGTCCAGACTTTGTTGAAAGTGACCAAAGGGGTTATAGGGCAAGCAGTGGTTTGACAGAGGAGGTGGTGGGACAGAGAGAATTAACATAATAAAAAACTTTTAAAAGTTCATTTCATCATGATGCGTTTTAAAGTCTTACACATGCCACAAAGAGATAGCTATGATACTGGTATCCATGCACTTCAGTGCTCTCACCAGCTTTATGTTACAAGCAAAAGCAACATTAGCAGCCATAAGTCTTTTTAATATGCCAAGAAATAATGACATACAAAATGTATGCTATAAAATCTTAATACGGACATTCATACGACATAAATTTTGCATACATTTAAATGAGCCCTGAGATACAAATGATATTGAGCCTGTACCCCAGGGCATTATCCATTGTCATCTGCAGTAATCCTAATTTGAATATATATTTTTTCTCTATTTTTGCTCATCTTAATTTATCTCCAAAATGAGACTGTACAGTATGGGGCTGATGTTCACAGATACTAAACTGCTGAAACTCCAGCTGTCTTTAATCAGGATTAAGAGTGAATAGTGCCTCCAAAAGATATGTTTCCCCTGTGAAGAGCAATCCGTTGCCAGTGATCACATAATACATGAAAATGTATCCTGCTGGTAAGACCACTTGCCCATTCAGTCCCTTAAAGTAGCCAAAGCAATGTACAACAATGCAGCATTCTGTTCCCAGACTTTGAGCCTCTAGCCCCTGAAGGTACTTTCCTATAGATTAAAGTACTTCCCCATATATTAATAGTATATTCAAGGAATTATTTTTGAAAAATCTAATATTTGTAATGATCAAGTGCACACCCAAAGCTGTGAATTCTGCAAGGCATTGACCTCTGTGAAAGAACCCCTGTCTGGCTATTCATTTCCCCCCAAGAGTGCTTTCATATCAGACAGAATTTCAGGATACTTACTTTTGTTTCATGTTTAATGCAATACTTCATGTCAACAACGTTGTTCCAGACTAACGTCCCTTTCACTATACAATTGACATGTTTCTTTTAGGGTGCCTCACAGTAGGGGTCCTTGAAGAGAACATTGCTATGAGCTGGCTTCACCTAGCAAAATATCAAAAAGGGTGGATGGAGAGGGAGAGAAAGAGAAAGAGGTGGATAAGTTTTTCTGGGATTTGCCAGCAAAATATTTTGCCCATTTACAGAACAAGATTTCAGATTGCTCTTGATAAGAAGGTAGCTTTCTTCATAGGGAAAGACTTACAGAAATAAATGGGTGGGTGGGTAAAATAAATAAAAATAGAAATAGAAAAGCAAAGCAAGATATATATTTTTAAGCAGTAGACTCATTTGCTATGGCTTACAGCTAGGAGGTGTTCATGAATATGAAAAGAAAATACAGTCAAGATAATAAAAAAACCTTTGAGCCACAAATTATTGTGAACAAAAGAGGATGGGTTGAATTCCTTGTGAACAATGGTGGCATTTTTATTGACGCCACTTCCTCCCAGTTTTCTATTTCTAGTTTACTGAATCAATGTGAATAATTTAGAAACAGGATATTTAGAAAAGGCACATACCCTACCATTAGTAGATACTGGTGGGTTGTGATGAAGTTTGGAAGCACTGAGCTGTGGGGCCGTGCAGCCGGTGGCAGAGGAAGGGGGTGGGGGACAGTCTGCCCCGGGTGCCATCTCTGATGGGGGTGACAAGAAGGCACCCCACCAGGGGCTCGCCACTGCCATTGCTCCACTGCAGCCGCATGCAGAGAATCCTCCGCTTGTGGCTGCACCCTCCGCCACCATCCGTGCAGCACTCGAGAAGAACTGTCAGCAAACTGCCCAGCGGCGCATGCATGGCAGTGCTACTTAGCGTGCTGTGCATGCGCCCTACGTATGTCCTGCCCCCCAACACCCCACACCGAGTGCCGGTTCCCCTTCCTTCGCCCCTGCGTGCAGTTTGTCTTGTACCCATGAACTAGCACCAACCACCAGTTCTATCAGTTTCAGTACATGGAATGGGAGAACGAGCGTAATCTTGCCCTTCTCCTTGGGCAGCAAATTGTCTTGGGCTGGCTGCACTGTTTTGTCTGTAAACTCGGCATCACACTATCAGATGCAATTGATATCAGATGCTTTCCCCAGCCTAGTGGCCTCCAGGTGTTTTCGATTACAATTCCCATCATCCATTCCCACTACCTGGGGCTGATTGGAATTGTAGTGGAAAACATCTGGAGGGCCACAGATTTCCCCATCCTTGTTTTATTTTCTGGCAAGAATTGCTAACTATTTTTTACAAAAATATATAAATCAATAAATGTTTCCCCTACATCTTTTCTCAAGATATTATTGGGAAACTGAGAAACAGGAGAGAAGTAACAGAGAGTCCCCATTGGGGCAGCCTCCGAAAGCACAACTGCTCTCTGTATTTTAGGAAATGCTAATGCAGCTGGTTGCAAACGCCAGAAAGGCAACACAGACATCAGCCTGGGATTTGATTTCTCAATCTGGAGCTCACTGTAGATCGGTCCTGGGTGGGTTGGCTCACAAGCAGCCCTGCGGTGGTATTAGACTATGGAGAACTGTTATGTGTCAGCGTGCATTTTACACACACTCCTCATAATGAATTATGAAGCAGCAGGACAGCATCTTTGTGGGAATGGCAGCGATGAACAGAGCCGGTGTGCGCGCATTAAGAGCGAGGAGTGAGAAATGGGAATAAATATCACACCAGCTCACTGAAACACAGCTTGATCTTCTTGAGTTTCCATTGGCTCACCTGGGAAATGAGGATTACAACAGCCTCGTTTGGAACGCTGGAGTCTTCCTCAATTAAAGGAAATGGCAAAGAGCAGGAGATCTGAAAGAGAGTAAAACTTTGTCAAAGTCAGCACACTAACACCATTGTGTGTTTCGCTTCTCAAAGGTTCTGTTTTCAAACAGAACTGGCAAGAATATTAATTCTTCATGCATTACATTGCCATTGTTTCTTTTGAATGCTCGTAGACTTAGGATGGAATTTAATGTAGCACTAAGGAGATTGTTCTGTCAGTGCAAGGATTTCTGGCTGTCTTGTGAAATAGCGGCCCTTTCCACCATCCATATGCTGTTCTGGGGGTTCTCCTTTAGAGTGTATGTTGGGGGGGGAAATATGGGTGTGGGTAGATGAAAGCCCTATTGCATGAGTGACAGTCCTTCTGCTGGTTCTTGCTAGCGGAACCAGGTGCATAAATAAAAATTCCATTCTAAACAGAATATATTCTGGTTCTCAGGTCTTAGTGATTTTACTGTTTAAGTCTGCCCCCCCCAATAAATATTAGTGTCTTTTAAAATCACATAAGCTGCATGAGGGATTTTATTAAAGGGCGTGGTATGACTTTCTCTGACAAACAAGCAAGCATAGGTTGTGCATCATAGCGCTCTATCTGAATGTAGTCAATGGAAGGTAAAAGAGAAAGCTGCCCTCCCACCCTGCCCACAACAAAATGGCAGGGCACAAGGCGCAGCTGTTGCTTTGCCAGTATATCTCGTCTTCCCTTGTCAGAGTGCTCTGTTAGGCTGCAAGCCTGTGAATACCTTTCTGGGAGTAAACCCCATTACGTAAATCCATTGGGACTTGCTTCCAGGTAAGCATGGCTAAGATTAGACTGCACAAGGCATCTCACTGGCTTGGGGAAAACTAAATTGACTATAGATTCTTTTTTTCATATCATTAATCAAATGAAGAAGTGCTTTGGCAGTGATGGATCTGTTAGGCAGGCCTCCTTACAGAGGTGAAAGCAGTTGTTACAAGAGTTGAAAGTTTGTTTTTTTGATCTTTATGCTGTAGATTTACTGGCTTACTCAAAATCAAAAGCTGTATAGCTTCTAAAAACAAAAGTTGATTAGTTATTCTGCAGGCAAATATTTATTCAGCACTGTAAAGGTTAGGCCTACCACAGGCATGTTACACCAAGCCAAGCTCCCTAATCTATCTACATTGTTCCATGCCTGGAATGGAAGTGATGTTTTCAGGCCGAACCCTACTATTAGGCAAGGTACAGCAGTGAGACCTGATTCAGGTGGCATATTTTGCAGGGTATCATGCAAAGGCGGCAAACTACCAGCTATTTCATTCATTTATCTTCTCCTGCAACAGGTATTTGAATTTTCTGCATCATCCAGCAAAACATCTTTAGCTAACTCTGCATCCACCTTCTGAGTATTATTGTAAAAGTTTATGTTGGAATAATTTTGTTTGTCGAAGTATCTAGCATTTCACACATTGTTAGGGCCTTGTATGAAACACACTTTCTTAGCGAAAGTATGCATTTCAAAGTGCAGTGAGCTGTGCAATATGGCCATTTTAATTATGCAAGGCCGTAAGTGACTTTATGAATTACATTGCAAAAAGGCATTATAATTCCTCAGTTGCAATTATACAGCAAATGAAAAATCTCATAAGGAAAATGAGGTTCAAAGGGAGGCCAGAAGAAATATCAACATGTGTATATACTGTACAAGGACACAATCAATATTTAATTGTCTCAAATGATCACAAATGTACATAGATACCTGCTGTTTCCAGGGTTGGATGAACCACCTTCCTAAGTATTTAATAGTGCCAGGTTCTGTCTAGGTTTGTAAGGCTTTATCGAGATTTGGGCCTTTATTATAGGTTATAGTGGACTCCAGCATAGAAAATATGCTATACTTGCTGTCCGCATAGAAAAGACAAGTGGCTTCCTTATTTCTTGCAGCATATAAATGACAACAATATGGCACACGAAACAACATAATTGTGCTTTCTTTGCCAGAAAAAACATAAGAAGCCATTTTAGCTCTTTGGTTGCATGCAGGGCCAGCACAAGATATTTTGATGCCTGAGGCAAAGGAAAAAATGGCTCCTTCACTCCATTCCATATAAAGAAGTCAACCAGACTGGCAGCTGAATCTTATTTCAGCAGCACCCGGTTTCAACAGCAGTGGGGCAGCATCCTCTGTCACACCTGAGGGCAGTCGGCTATTAAGGAGCACATTGCTGGCCACACTGCTCTGTCCTCCAACAGAGGGAATGCTCAGGGGACTCGGAAGGAATGGCCAGAAGACTGATGCTGCTGCCATTCCCACCCCCCAGCATCGGCCACCTGAGATGGCTGCTTCACTCTGCTTAATGGTAGGATAGCCCTGGACGAACAGTAACAGAAGAGCTATGCGAAATCCTTGAGGAGTTATATAACTCTACATGGCTTGGCCCAATGGGTTGGGTCCCATTGTGAACACCACTGAAGCTCTTTGAATTAGTGGAAGCTTCAGTTGGTGGGAAAGGGTGGAACCAATTTTCACAGGTTCTCCCTTTCCCATGCAGCCCCCTAGATCTGCCCTAAAGATTTGGAAGGGTGTGGCAGGTAGCACAGAGGAGTGCAGAAGGAAGGGAGAATTTACAAAGAGCACCTCCCCCATGCTTTGTTTGGCTTATGGAAGCTTCTGAGTCAAAGATTCTTCCATAAGTGGATGGACAGAACCCCAAGGTATTTTGTAACCAACTATCAATACTCAAATACAAAAAGTAGAGACTGAGAACCGCGGCTGAAGAGTTGAAAATATTCTCTGTCATTCTTCTCTCTGATTGGAAGATCTTTACATGTCAAACTTCAGCCTTCTAAAGAGATGTTAAGATGTTTGTTAATGTCATTATTGCCTAAATTTGCATATTTAACATTGACTTCGAAATGGAAATGCTTTTTAAAAGATGAGAATTTTCTTCTTCCAGAGATACTTCTGCACACCTGGTCTTCCTAAGTCAGCAAAGGGGAAAAATTAAAATAGTATGAATATGTAAAGAAATTTGCCAGAGCCATCCGTGCATGAAAGCCATGTGTTAGGAAAATGAACAAGTCTAAATGCTAAATGATGTATTTGAAAAATGTAAATGTTATAAAATATTACCTACATTATGTGAACCTCGCATCTCAGAAATGGCTGATTATCTGAATCTACCATGTGTCTCCCATCTAATTAGCCTGTGTAAATAGCACTGCTATATAAACCTCTAGTTATTAAGTTATTTGCATGTTCCACAGCCATTAAGTTAAATGATTCCCCCCTCTAAAACCAAGATGCTCCAATGGAAGTATATAAAAGTTTCTGGGGTGTGCCTACCAAAAACTGAAAAGGAGTTGTGCTATTTCATTAACAAACAAACAAACAAACAAACAAACAAACAAACAAACACCATACCACCTGATCCACAATACGACTCATGTACTTACTCATCTTACTCTCTGAGCCTGAGGGCTGGTTTAAAATGTGATTGATGGAAGTGCCCCTGTGATGCCTGTAGGTGACATCCCTTCTCCATAGGGAGATTTCTCATACTACGTCATACCATTCGTTCAGCTAGCACAGAACTTTCTGCTCTTAATGACAGCAGATCCCCAGGGTTTCAGAGAAGTCTTTCTCAACCCCATTGGGGAAATGTTGGGGGTTGTGCCTGGGCCCTTTTCCATGCAAACCAGGAGTAGCACCATTGAACTGTGGCTCTTCCTGCCCTTGACCCAGCCTTGCAGAATCTAGAGTGTATGTGGTTTTCGGATCCTAGTACAAATAGAATACATTGCAATAGTGTACATTGAAATGGATGCACTGGAACTAGGCAGCTTCTGAACCAATTAGAAGAACAGCCACAGGTAAATAGCACTGCAGTAATTCAGTCTTGAGGCAGCCATGACATCGGCTCCTTTGGGAGGAAAAGTGAGATATAAATTTAATAATAACAAAATAAATTAATGGATCACTGTAGCCAAGCAATCCCTATCCAAGAAAGGCTAGAAGGCATATCAGCCTAAGCTAGTGAATGGAATGACCTGTTTTTGAAGGCCATTTGAGCTTCCATCAACCTTGCTAGATCTTTCCTTTTTCTGCTATTGCCAAGTTACATATTCAAGCAGACAACTACAGTGGCTTCCCTCTCTTTCCCCTCCCCTTCTACTTATTTAATGGCATGGAAGCCCCAAAGAAAAATGAAGCAAATAGTATATTCCATCACACTAACATGCCTCCATAAGCAGCTGCCACGTTAATCGGTTCTCTGCCGTTGACCTTTTCGGAATGGCCTTATTTTGCTACAGCATTTATCACTGGGCCAAAATGTCAGTGAAGAACAGGGTAGCAGCACTTACAGCAGTTTGCATATATTTCTGGAAATATCACCTTTGCTGATGCCCCCATAAAGATCTCCTCGGACAGGAACAAATAGAAATAGGCTAGGAGCTGATTTCTTGGCCATTGTTTCCTCTGTATAAAGGCAGGCAACCTGATTAGAAAATGTCAGGGGGAAAACTATTGCAAAATATATTATCTATAAAGGCAATAAGAAAGTAGCAGGAAAGGCTAAAATAAGCTCTTTATTCAAGCAAATGCAAACGACTCTTTAAAAGGTGCAAAGTTTCTTGGCTGTTTGTCCCTGTCCTGCCAATGAACTGAGCCAGTCAAACAATTATAAACACTTGGATAAATGCTTAATTGTTTTCATCTAAAATAGCACCCCTGGCATTCAGGGCACTTTCCACAAATGGGTACTCAATTCTAAACACATTTACTTAGAATTTACTTCACGCTCCATGAAAATTACATCCAGACACAGGAGGACAGAAGCCCAGAATAGGTGACTTGTAGACAGGGACACTTTGTTTATACAGCAGCTCATTCCAAAGAAAATATAGCCACAATACACACATTTGGGGGTCAACTAAATATAACAAATCTTGGGTCTGGACCACAAAAACTGCCCAAGTTCCCATATTTTTAATGGCCCCGCTTCTGCCTATAACAGCAGCTGAATGTGCAGAAATCTTCAGATTAACTTGGCAATGAAGTTCTTTCCAATAAAATAGCAGGAAAAGCTTCACTTGCTTATTTTATTTTTATTTTTTTACATTTGTATCACATTTTATTGTATTACATTTTTAGAAGCTGTGAAAAAGCGGAACTCTATGTTGGGGATCATTAAGAAATGGATCAAAAATAAAATGCCTGTAGTGAAATGTGATCCTGAACAGACCTCAGTGGCTTATGCACTGTAGTGATACCTCAGGTTACAAATGCTTCAGGTTACAGACTCTGCTAACCCAGAAATAGTACTTCGGGTTAAGAACTTTGCTTCCGGATGAGAAAAGAAATTGTGCGGCGGCAGCGGGAGGCCCCCTTAGCTAAAGTGGTACCTCAGGTTAAGAACAGTTTCAGGTTAAAAACGGACCTCCGAAACAAATTAAGTTCTTAACCCGAGGTACCACTGTATAGGCAAGGTTTTATAGAGTGTGTGGAATGGAAAGTGAAACTAGAACGGAATGACTGAAATGCAAAGATGGTATGTGTTAGTGAGTTTATTAGGACTGTTCTGTTGTCATCATTAGACAATAACAGAGTTGGTTAAAATGCTGAAGTCTCTGTCATTCATTAGAGAACCTTCATATAAATATGTGGTGCAGCAACAATTGGAATACTGTGAGCAGTTATGGGTATCTCCTCTTCTTGCTCAGTTCCAGTTTGCACTGGCTCTCTTGGTCCTACGTTGAACATGGCCCCTTAAACATGCCTACGTTCAGTTCTGTTCTCAACAGAGGGGGTTT